GGCCTGGGTGCTGTCCCTCAGCTCTTCAGCTCAAGGCTAGCGCTCTACCACTTGAGCCACAGTGCCACTTCCAGCTTTTTTCTTATGTGGTGCTGAGGAATCAAACCCAGGGCCTCATGCATGCAAGGCAAGCACTCTACCACTGAGCCACCTTCCCAGCCCCTGGAGATTTTTAAATATAAAGAGAGAGCCAGGCGCTGGTGGCTCATGCCTGTAACCCTAGCTACTCAGGAGGCTGAGAGCAGAGGATTACAGTTTAGAGCCAGCCCAGGCAGGAATGTCCGTGAGATTCTGATCTCCAATGAACCACCAGAAAACTGGAAGTGGCTCAAAGTTGTGGAGCACTAGGCTTGAGTGAAAGAGTTCAGAGACAGTGCCCAGGCCCTGAGTTCAAGCATCACAACCAACTAACTAAATGAAAAACAAGTGGTAGGTCTCTGCCCTGACACGTGTAGATATTGGCTATAAGAATTAGCCCCTAGCTGGGCGCTCTACCACTGAACCACCTTCCCAGCCCCTGGAGATTTTTAAATATAAAGCAGGAGAGCCAGGCGCCGATGGCTCACGCCTGTAATCATAGCTACTCAGGAAGCTGAGATCTGAGGATCACGGTTCAAAGCCAGCCCAGGAAAAGTCCAAGAGACACTCAGTTCCAAATTAACCACCAGAAAGCTGGAAGTAGCACTGTGGCTTGAGTGGTAGAGCACTTGCTTTGAGCTGAAGAGTTCAGGGACAGTGCCCAAGCCCAGAGTTCAAGCCCCATGACGGACCAAAATAAAAAGGCCCCAAGCTGGGCACTGGTGGCTCATGCCTCTAATCCTAGCTATTCAGGAGGCCGAGATCTGAGGATCACCATTTGAAGCCAGCCAGGGAAGGATAGTCTGTGAGACTCAACTCCAATTAGCCGCCAGAAAACGAGAAGTAGCACTGTGGCTCAAAGTGGTAGACCACCAGCCTTGAGCAAAAGAGTTCAGGGACAGCACCCAGGCCCAGAGATCAAGCCCAACGAGACCAAAAACAAAAGCCCCAGTATGAAGAAACCTCCAGACTGTAATGTGCCAGCCAGCCATTACCGTTAGGAAGAGGGAGCTAGACAGCCGGCCTGGGTGCTGGGTCCTTCTACTGTGGCTGGACTCCTATGGATTGGCACTTTTGCTGGCACCGGCCCTGGGTTCCACAGAGTTGCAGCAGACCTCTCTTGCATGTATTCCTCTTGATGTCCTTGACAACTGGGCTCTGCTGAGAGAGTTCTCGCCCCATTAGAAGCAGCTTATTATTTGTCCTGATTACTGCCACCTCCAGGCGCCCCTGGAAGCCCTACTCCTGCTGGCCCCCAGGACCCAGTCCACCCCTCACCCCAAGCTACCCAGCCCCACTCTGTGTGCGTATGTGACCCCACCATGGACTCAGCCTGCCCAGCATGTGTCTCGGCGGCCTGAGGCCTTACTGCAGGGCCTGTGGATCAGGGCCTGGGCCCCCTGCTGCCCTCCACCACTGAAGGGGGCCAAGACAACGCAGGGAGGGCTTTCTGTGAGAAGCAAGCTGGCTGACAGCTACTGGACTCTTCCCAGGGAAGAGGTGATAGTGGAGCTGTAGGAGCAGTTACCCAGCATGCCATGTTCCCTCTGGAGCCCCTGCTGATGGCCCACTAAGAGGAACCGGAAACTCCGCACGAGAAAGTGGCTCTGGTGGCTGCAGGAACTATCGCATCTCATCCTAGCCAAGAGCCGTCTCCAGCCCCACGGTTCCTGTTGAGCCAGCCCCTTCTGCCCTTGGCTTGCACTTCTTTGGTGTTGGAAAGTAGGGCGTCCTGGCTGTCAGCTACCTGTGGGTGTGTCAGGGAGTACTGCCTGCTCACGCCCTCTTGCTTGTGTGTTACAGAGAAAGATGGACAGCCGCGAGTACCCAGATGCACAGGGCTTTGCCGCTGACATCCGGTTAATGTTCTCCAATTGTTATAAGTACAACCCTCCAGACCATGAAGTGGTAGCCATGGCCAGGAAGCTCCAGGTAACCTGAGGCTAGACGTGCTGTGATTAGCAGCTGGGATTGGCTCCGTGGGTGTCCAGGCCCCCCGGTACAAGATGGGCACACCACTCACACAACCCGATTCTCTGCGTCGTGGCGAAAGCATGGCAGGCCCAGAGCCTGGTTCCAAGAAGTGATGGTGAACAGGCTGGCCTCTGCCTCCGGGAGCTGCAGACTGGTGTGGGAAGATGGCTGGCTAGCAGGCAAGGGCCTTAGTGGTGGCAGGAGTCCATGGTACTTGCCTGCCTGGGCCCCACAGGTGGGTCTGTCCCGGGGCTGGTGTGCCCTGGGCAGGATGGCAGGGGCTGGTGAGGCCACACTAGATCCACTTAGGGTCCAGCTTCTCTGCTGACAAGGCAAGGCAGGCTGGCGAGAGCGTGCACACACATTGTGCAGAGGTTTCTTCATTAGTTCAGGCACCTCGTGGACAGCCACACAGCCCTGGCACGGAGGTGTGTATTGTACATGCATGTGGGTCTTACCAGTATCTGGGAACTGCACACCTGTTTCCGTGTGGGTCCCACACCAGAAACTATTCTGACCTTTTGTATTGATTGTGCAGGTTGTGTGCTTTGGTAAAGATCAATGCTTTCTGTGGGTACAAGGGTATGCACACACACCAGTGCTAGGGCCTGAACTCAGGGCCTAGGCCCTGGCCCTCAGCTTTTTTGTTCAAGGCTAGTGCTCTACCATGTAAGCCACAGCTCCACTTGTATTTTTTTGGTGGATAATTGGAAATAAGCATCCGTGGACTTCTCTGCCTGGGCTGGCTTTGAACCTCTGTGGCACCCAACCATGTTGAAAGGTTACATAATCAAAAGGTTTTCATTTTGGAGCCAAAATGAAAATTATGGGGGGCTGGGAAGGTGGCTCAGTGGTAGAGTGCTTGCCTTGCATGCATGAGGCCCTGGGTTCGATTCCTCAGCACCACATAAATAAAAAGAAAAAAGCTGGAAGTGGTGCTGTGGCTGAAGTGGTAGAGCACTAGCCTTGAGCTGAAGAGCTGAAGAACTCAGGGACAGCTCCCAGGCCCAGAGTTCAGGCCCCACGACTGGACAAAAAAAAAAAAAAAAAGAAAATTATAGGTAGCCTTTCCAGGACCTGAAACAGTCTGGGAGTTGTTCTTAGTTCCTTGCTCAGATGAATCCTGGTGTGATGTACCCAAGTAGTTGTGGAGCCCCAGGACCCCAGTGTCAGGCCGAGACCTGGCTCACAGTGCTTGGAACCTAACAGTGTAACCAGTATTGTAGCCAAGTCAGGTCACAGATAGCAAGAGGCCCTGGTTCTGCCCCATGTGAGATGCCGATGGGTCTTTGCTCCGGACGCTTTGGTGAGGGGAGGTGATGGGGGGAAGGCCCAACACCATAGCACCCTGCTCAGAAGGCCTTCTGGGCTTTGCACTGACTTCTTAGCTCAGGGCACAGCGTACCTCTGCACACATCTCTGCCCCAAGAAGAGTGGATGAGCCAGGCCAAGGCAGCAGCCCCTCGTTTCCCCCTGTCTGCTCCTCCACCGAGAGGATTTTGAGGGCCTAGGTCCTACAGGGGTAGTGAGGGGCTTTCCAAGGCTGTCTCTGCAGGACAAGGTGTTAGAGTTGCCTGCTCTGCACCGAAGCGGGGAAGGGGTCAGGTGGCTGGCTTCCCACTGTCTCCACTAGAGCACAGGACTTGTCCACAGGGGGCAGTCTGGTCCTGGAGGCCGCCAGGGCTGCGTGGGATTGCGGTACGATGGCACTCGGGAGCTGCCTGGAGAGAGCAGGGCTTGTCCCTCACAGGGGCCATTAGAGGGGGGCTCCTGCAGAGCTCGACCTCGTGAGCCAGGTGCACGCGGCTGCCCTGTGGGTGTCCAGGTGCTCAGGCAGCCCCTGTTCCTCCCCAGGATGTGTTTGAGATGAGGTTTGCCAAGATGCCTGATGAACCAGTGGAGACGCCTGCTCTGCCCCTGCCCACGGCTCCCATGGTGAGTAAGGGCACCGAGAGCAGCCGCAGCAGCGAGGAGAGCTCTTCCGACTCAGGCAGCTCGGATTCCGAGGAGGAGCGGGCCACACGGTTGGCAGAGCTGCAAGAGCAGGTGAGGCACTGTCTTGCTCCTGCCAGGCCCGGCGCCCCCCGCCCCCGAGGCTGCCCCCCCCGCCTGCCCCAGGCTGCCCCCCCGCCTTCCCCAGGCTGCCCCTGCTGTGGCTTCCTCTGCTTTCTCAGACATCCTTCGTGGTACTGCCGTGGGTGGGGCCCTTCTGTATGCCCAGAGACATGGCTGCCTGCGTGCCCTGCTCTAGAAAGGACAGGAAGGCACATGCAGGCTCCATGAGCCGCCCTTGGTGCCCAGCCCGAGTGCGCACATTGCTTCCCCAGTGTCTGGCAGCCAGGCCTCGGTGCACACTGTCTTGAGAGTTGTGGCAGAGCAGACAAGCGTGGGAGCCAAGCTGCGGAGGCTGGAGAACCGTGTGGGTGGTGGGTGGCTCCACGGGGAGCCGGGGCGGGGAAGGTGACTTGGGGAGGGGCGCTGGTGAGGGATGATGGGCTGCACACTGGCGGGCAGGGAAGACAGCAGGTGTGGTCCCTCCCCTGCCCACCAGGGGTTGGACATAGCAGGTGTGGTCCTTCCCCTGCCCGCCAGGGGTTGGACGTAGCTGCTTAGCACCACCACTTGTCCTGGTGAGCCAGCTTTCCCAGAGCCATCTGTAAAATACCTAGCACCCTGCCAGCTGTGGCCAGGCTCAGGGAGAATGACAACCAGCACTGAGCCCACTCTGTAGTCTTTAACTGCCTTTGGGAGGGGGTGAGGAGGGGGATGGGCGACGGGGAAGAGGTTGAGTACCAAGGATCAAACTCAGGATGTATTTGCTAGGCAAGCACTGTGCCACCAAGTTACATCCAGCCCTCTACATCTTAGTCTTGCTGTATAATACATTATCCTTGGGCAGCCAGGCATGGCAGCTCAGACCTGTAATCCTAGATAGTTGAGAGGTGGGGATCGGGTGGTCATGATTAACAGCCATCCTGAACTAGCAAAACAGTTGTTTTCAAGACTCAACCAGTGGCTAGATGTAGTGGTCTGTGCTTCTCCCTTGGTGACAAAGAGACGCACAGATAGGAAGACTTCTGTCCAGGCCAGTTTGGGAATAAAGTAAGCTCCTGTTTCAAAAAGCCTGTCACCCCAGCTATTTGGGAGGCAGAGATTAGGAGGATTATAGTTTGAGGCCAGTCTGGACCCCCCAAAAAATTAAACACATTTGCAAGACTTCATCTCAACCAACGGCTGGATGCTGCGGCATGCATCTGTCACCCCAGTGCCACAGAAGCACACATAGAAGGATTCTGGCCCAGCCAGCTCGGTCACAAATGAGACCAGCTCAGAGCTGGACGTATTGCTTAAGTGGTAGAGCACCTGTCTGACAAGTTCACAGCCTTGAGTTCAAACCCCAGTACCATCCAAGATGAAATAAGAGCCCAGTCTTTGTGGGCTGCGGTGTAGCTGGGCCGAGCCTCCGTGGCGCAGCGAGGTCTGCCTTGCTGATCCGCTCAGCTCCTTGCTCTTTTCCAGCTGAAGGCCGTGCATGAGCAGCTGGCTGCCCTGTCTCAGGCCCCAGTGAACAAACCAAAGAAGAAGAAAGAGAAGAAGGAGAAGGAGAAGAAGAAGAAGGACAAGGACAAGGACAAGGAGAAGCACAGGGCCAAGTCTGAAGAGGAGAAGAAGGCCAAGGCAGCCCCCCCTGCCAAGCAGGCGCAGCAGAAGAAGGCTCCTGTCAAGAAGGCCAACAGCACCACCACAGCCAGCAGGTGGGCGCCCGCCCTCCGGGCTCCGAGTGCGGCAGGTCACCGGGCGGGAGGTCCGGGGAGACCAGGGCAGCCGGCCAGGCTGGGGAGTCATCCACTCCTTTCCTGCCCACAGGCTGCCCTCCATACTGGGCATCGAGGGGTTTGCACTGTTCCGCCTCCATGCTTGAGACCTTTCCCGACCCAGGCCTCCAAGCCTCCATATCGGGCCTACCTAACTTAGCTCCTGCGGTGGCTGTGTCCTGCCCTGAGGAGCCAGGAGTGGCAGAGCAGGGCCAGCAGGGAGAGATGGGTCTTCTCTCTGCCTCTCAGAGGACGCGACTGCCGTGGGCAGAGGCTGAGGCTGGGGCTGGGTGTGAAGTCTTGGGGCCCGTAGATGTCCTTACTTTTTAAAATCAGGACAGATTGGCACCCCTGAAAAAGAGGCAAGTGGAGCCCGCAGAGGCCGGTGGGCCTCGGGGAGTCACTGCACCCCTTCCTCAGAGAGGGAAGTGGTCAGTCTGGCTAGGGTGGAGGGAAATGGAGGAAGGGGGTCCTCACCGGGAGAGGTTCTGATTGTGAGGTGGGGTCTTCCTGTGGAGGCAGAGGTTCTGATTGTGATGCGGGGTCTTCCTGTGGAGGCAGAGGTTCTGAGAGTGGGGCGGGGTCTTCCTGTCCAAGCAGAGGTTGTGATTGTGTAGGGGATCTTCCTGTCCAGGCAGAGGTCTGGCTATGAAGCGGGGTCTTCCTGTCCCTCGCAGGCATACTTGGAAGCTGGCCCTGCCACCTCGGGCCACCTGGAGGAGAGCCTGGGCCCGAAGAAGGGCAGCCAGGCGGCCAGGCGGGTATTACAGGGTGGGGACGCAGGGGCTTGACACCGTTACTCTCTCGGGCCTCAGACAGCTGAAGAAAGGCGGCAAGCAGGCGTCTGCGTCCTACGATTCGGAGGAGGAGGAGGAAGGCCTGCCCATGAGCTATGACGAGAAGCGCCAGCTGAGCTTGGACATCAACCGGCTGCCGGGGGAGAAGCTGGGCCGCGTGGTGCACATCATCCAGTCCCGGGAGCCCTCGCTCAGGGACTCCAACCCTGACGAGATCGAGATCGACTTCGAGACCCTGAAGCCCACCACGCTGCGAGAGCTGGAGAGATACGTCAAGTCTTGTTTACAGAAAAAGCAGAGGAAGCCGTTCTGTAAGTTGTCTGGGACGGGACAGTGCCACTGTGGCCTCCTATCGTTCCCCCCGCCCCCCTGCAGCCCACAGACACCCGTGCTCAGCTCGGGCGGGATGTGTGACTGAGCATGCCCCGCCTCACTTCACCCACCGGAGGGGGGCTGTAGAGCGCTCTTGGGTGAGTCCTGCCTGGGGAAGGCAGGCCCTGAGTGGGCCTGGGACCACATCCACCTGCACGGCTTCCTGAGGCTCAGTTAGGGTTCTCGGTCCTTTGTCCAGAGCACAGGAAAGAGGAGAGCCCCCTTTGGCCAGGGTCCAGTGTCTAGAACTTTCTAGTATGGAACCCTGACTCAGCAAGTCAGGTGCCCTGTTTGTCATCCCTCAGGTGCTAGATTCTAGGAGGGAAGGACAGAGCCAGAGCAGCCCTTCCAGCCCCCACTACTAGGGCTGGCGAGTCTTACGTGGGCCCGTGCGATGCTCATGTGTGCCGGGTTCTTTCTGGAACAGGTGGCCTCCTTTCCGTGGGTGGACAGCCGGACCGTGGATTCCGTGTCTGTGGTCTCTGTGCACCCGCTGGTGGGTGGGGCTTCCTCCAGTGTGTCTCCCCCCCCCAATTCTTATGAGGCTGCACGTGGCCGGGGCTCAGTAGATGTGGCAGTGGTGGTTCCAGGCCATCTGCGGCTGCACCAGCTGGAGGGCAGGAGCTGGGGTATGCACCGGTGCCTAGGGCTGCCCATGGCCGCCTGGTGGCCCTGGCTCCAGGAGTGTCTCAGCGCTCATCTGTCCCTCCTTAGCCACCAGCGGGAAGAAGCAGGCAGCCAAATCAAAGGAGGAGCTAGCTCAGGAAAAGAAGAAGGAGCTGGAGAAGCGGCTGCAGGACGTCAGCGGGCAGCTGAACAGCAAGAAGCCGGCCAAGAAAGGTTCGTCACGAGCCTGCCTGCGGCCGCCACCCACAGCCACCTCCGTGCTGGCCACCATAGAGGGCAGCGGTTGGGAGGCTCTGGGCACCCACCGGCCCACTCGGGCCAGTCTGCCACCCATCAAGCTGTTCTGAGAGGAGCCTCCATTTCCTTACCGGTGATGGACGGTGCCCCGGCTGTGCCCTGGTGGTTGTGGGTGAAAGCCAGAGGTCTGAGTTGCACGGGGCCTCGCTGTAAGGAGGGCAGCTTGCTCTTTCCCTGGCTATCTTAGGAGCAGGCGGTGGAGACCCCGCGGGCAGCAGGGTGCAGAGGATGGTCAGCATCAGGGTCCCACAGAACTGGGTGCCTTCTATCACCACAGGCCGTGTGCCGAGGGTCTCGGGGCAGTGTGGGCTCCAGGAGGGCCAGCGTGGTGTCTGCGGCTGCTGTGAGCACCATTTTGCAGGCCACCTCCCGGGGCCCGCCTCCATTGAGATTGGCAGGCATTGTTAGTGTGGCCTCCCCAGCCACGTTGGCTCATCCCTGCGTGTTTCTAACCCCCTGGGTGGAGAAGTGGGTGGGCCCTGGCACAGGAGGGTGGCATGCAGCTAATGTGACACGGAGCCCTGGAGAGTGGGCAGTGAGGACCCCTTCCTTCCTCCCCGTGTCCCTGCAGAGAAATCGGGCTCGGCGCCATCGGGGGGGCCGTCGAGGCTCAGCAGCAGCAGCTCCTCGGAGTCGGCCAGCAGCAGCTCCAGCGGGTCCAGCTCTGACAGCAGTGACTCTGAGTGAACTTAGACTCGGACAAGCTCGCAGCGTCCTCTTCTGTGGTTAATATACTACTCTTGTTCCATGGTGTGCAGGTTTCCTTTTGCTCAGTGTCAGTGTTAGATCTCTTCCAGCTGTGCTTCAGTGGGCAGAGAGCCTCCTGCGTGTGGCGTGCGTAGGTCAGACCTGAGAATGGGCGCCCTGCGGTGAGTCGCTCGGAGACAGGAGCCCCACCACCTGGGACCTTGCAGAACCCCTCTTCTCTGCCCCGCTGGGTCTGTTACTTGGAAAATTTTCAAGGCTCTCTGCAGTGGGGCGGTGTGTGAGCGCTGCGCTGCGCTGTCTTTGCCATCTGGCCCTTTGCCTGATGCGGCCACCTCTCTCCGGGGGGCTGAGGACGGATGCCGGGCACCCGAGCCCCCCTCGGCCCTCTCAGCAGAGGGTTGAGGGGCTCCAGACCACCGTGCTGCGCTGTGGGGGTGGGCACCGTGGGGAGGGAGGCAGGGCGCCGGTTTTCGGCGGTCCTGAGAGGAGACGAGCAGCTGCGTGCACAGCGTGCAGATTTCCAAACACTGAAACTTTTACCTCAACTTAAGAAAAAAAAAACGATTTAAAAAAAAAAGGAGACTTTTTTTGTAAGTTCAACCATTTTCTACGCAAGCCCGGTGTCCTCACCCCTGCGCGCTGTGCGGCCGCGCCGCTTCCCAGTCATGTATATATAAATACTTTATTTATTAACACCATTGGTCATTTTTTTAAAAAAAGACAAAACCATGAAGAAGTGCATTAAGAGAAGGGAGGGCGGCGTGTGGGGCTGGAAGGGAGCCTGGGCTGCGGCGGCGGCTCTCTGGGTTGGTTGGCCTATTTTGGTTTCTTTGGTTTTTGTGTTTTTCTGGGGGTGTATAAAACTGGGAGATTTAGGGGTACAGACTCCTTCCAGCTGCAGCACATTCTGATGTCATACGTCGTCTGTTCGGTTCTTCTGTATCCACTTGCGGTCTCTTTGGACTGTTGGAAATGGCTTTAGGGAATCCCAGTTCTATCATGTAAGCTTTGTAATCGGAGAGGAAACGATGTATAGTAAACCGAAGTCTTGATTTTTAACTTTCTATTGTAAAAAGTAATAATATACAGAGTTTAACTGAAGCTTCTGTTGGGTTTTGGTTTTGTTGAGAAGCTGAGGCTTTGGAGTGCAGGGTCTGTCTGCCACGCTTGGGGCACGGTAGCTTTCGGCCGGGAGCACAAGGCCAGCCTCGAGCTGGGCAGGCTCTCTCTGTGCACCTGCGCTTGCCAGAGGCGGAGGTGGCTGGGTGGCTCAGGAATCTTCAGTGAGCCAGAGGCGGCAGGGCGGGTGTGCCTCCGTGAGGGCCGCTGGTTGTGTACGTGGGATGCGTGTCCAGGTATCTGGCCCGCTACGGTTCCCGCCAGCGGGAGACGGGCCCGTGGACAGCTCCCGGCCCGGGACAGTGTTGTGACAGCCCTGACACAGGCTCCAGCCACACCAGCAGCATTTGAGGCAGCCGAGCGGATGCAGACGAGAGGAGACGGCAGGCTGCTGCGCGCCCACCGCTGGCGGCCTGACACCGGTCGTGTTCAGCCAGTTGGGTAAACTTTTAAGTCAGTTTTGTTTATAATAAAAAATAAGACATGGATTTTTTAAAGTTCCATTTTTTTTAATTACCCTTGTTTTTCAAAGGTATTTTCTAAGCAGATCTTGAATAGAACGTTTGAACTGTGACCTTAGGAACTGCCGGTGGAGCCGGAGCAGTCTTCACCACGCCAGCAGGCCCGTGGCGCCTAGTCTGTCACAGGTGCCGGCCCCGCCCTCGTGCTGGGGCTGCCAGGCAGCCCAGGGGCCCTGTGCGAGCGGGGGGGGGGGGGGGCGGGGAAGGGTCTGGGGTTCCTGCTGTCATTCATTGGTGCTGTAACCTTTTAAGGCTTTCTGTCCAGACTTTAGGCTGTTTCCCCTCTGTGTTGAGGGCCAGTGGCCTCTCAGCCTCTGGGGTCCCATGTGGCTGCGGGGAACCACTGTGTGCGTCCCCTGATGGGAAAGGCTGCTGGGCGCGCACGGGGCGGCTCTGCACAGGCTTCCCTAAGCCAGGGGGAGGGCAGGGTCAGGTGTGACCACCTCGGTTGCCCTGGGGGCCCAGGGCGGCTTCAGAGTCAGTGGGTCCCGAGACCTCTCCTCAGCGTGTTCCGTTTGTCCATCTTGGTTTGCCTTCTGCAGCCGTCACCCCGTTTGCAGTCATCTGGGAAAAAAAATATCCACATCGCTGTTCCGAATGCCGGCCTGCCTAACACTTCCAGGAAGATTTTTGTTTTTATATTTACAATGTTACTTTTCTGTATGATGTGCATGCAAGTTGACCGTACCTTTTCTTAAGCTTTTTAGCGCCGTTTCTAGTAGAGTCCTGTAATGTCATTACTGAAAATGAGTCCAGTGTAAGTAGTTTTAGCTTGTTTTTTGCAATGCCAGCGCAACACCACAGAGTAAAACCGGTAGGAAGTACTCTTTGATGTTTCTGGTAATCATGGACCCTTCTCCTGGGGTATTTGTTTTGTTTTCATAATAAAAAGGAAAAAAAAAAGGTCATGTGTGCTATCCTAGCGTCCCGTGACGCCGGGGCCCCTCAGCTGTGTCTGCGTGCGTCCTGGCCGCCTGTGGTACCCAGAGCTGGGCCGTGGCCCGAGGCCTCTGCGGGGGCCCAACCCCATGCTCTGCTGTGCCCCCAGCATTGTCCCCTCTCTCCTCCCGCCATACTGCAATCTGTACAGGTGATTTCTGTGACAGGCGTCCATTCGGCCCGCATGGAAACCACAGCATGGCGGCGTCATGCTGCTGAGGTTCACCGAGCCATGAGCGGGCCCCAGAAGCAACCAGTGCTCAGTGAAGAAGGACCTGAGGCCATGGCTGCGGTCCCGGGCTGTGGAGCAGGTTCCCTCCGGGCCTCATCCAAGCCTAAGGGCATGTCCATCACCCAGGCTAGGTCAGGTGAAAGCTTGTCACTCCTGTCAACTCTGACCCTGACCATCCCCCACAGCACACCCGTCCACCTCTGCCAGATGGCCTCTTCCTGCCCCCTAAGCAGCTTAGTGTCCTCTAAGTGAGGACTGACCAGTTTGCCACCCATATCCACGAGACCAGCTAAGTGAGCACTCACCAGTGTGACTTGTCACCAGGGCCCCACGCCTGTGGCAGTGCTGTACCCGCAGTTGTCTTGGTCTGAGCAGTGGCGCACAGGCACTGCGGATGGCCGTAGCTCACTGCATGCTAAGCAGGACACACTGAAAAGATGCTGATACAAACTACTTAGTGGCTTTGGGGCAATCCCCCAGTAATGCCAGGCCCCGGGCAAGGCCAGTCACTGCAGGCGGGCATTGCACTCGGCAGGTAGCTTAGGTCCCCCAGTCTTGTGTGTCCGCCCAACCGTGACATACGGACTTTCACAATGGCCTGGGGCAGCCAGCAGGCCAGGGACCACAGGTCACAAGGGCTGGACCCAGCATTTGGGCAATGCTGCATGATCCAGTAGATCCACTGCTAGCATGTCTGCTGGAGGATTTACACATGCAGTGAGCAGATGTGATCAAGATGGCTGTGTGTGTGGCTGAAAGCTGGACTGTGTTTCTGTTAGGTGGGGCTGCCGCCAGAGGTCTAATACAAAGGGTAATACTTTGTGTTGCTGAGAATGATGCACAGGTCACATCCTTGCAATCACACGTGGAGTTTTTTTTTTTTTTTTTGTGCCAGTGCTGGCCTTGAACTCAGGGCCTTATGCTCACAAGACAAAGCTGGTACTCAAATTTAAGCCATATTTCCAGCCTTTTGATAGTTACTTGGAAGTAAGACTAGCTTGAAACCTTGATCCTCAGATCTCAGCCTCATGAGTAGCTAGGATCATAGGGTGAGCCACCAGCCACACATAGCCACATGGTTTTTATTCATACTAGCAACACCTGACAGACTGGCTTAAAGGAGAGAGCACTTTGCTTAGTTTTTTTTTCTTTTTTCTACTTTTGCTTAGTTCTGTGTTGGGACTCTTTAGTAATCATTAGAATTACAGTTATTTAAAAAAAAATCAGGTGCTGGTTGCTCATGTCTGTAATCTTAGCCACTCAGGAGGCTGAGACCTGAGGATCATGGTTCAAAGCTAACCCAGGCAGGAAAGTCTGTGAGACTCTAATCTCCATTAAACCACCAGAGAACAGGAAGTGGTGCTGTGGCTCAAGTGGTAGAGCACTCACCTTGAGCTGAAGAGCTGAGGGACAGCGCCCAGGCCCTGTGTTCAAGCCCCACAACCGACAAAAAGGAAGGAAAAAAAAAAGGAAAGCCAGGTAAGATGTGTATAAAGACAACAAACAAAAGGAAGACTCCTAAAGGATGTTTATTTAGAAAAGGAAGGTTTGTGTTGACGTCTGTGTGTCCACACGGTCCTAAGTACAGCAGAGGCTGATGAAAATAGGCCACAGCACAGGGCGGCTGGGCTGGGGTGGAGGGCAGCGACAGCCTCAGTAAGTGCTAGTGTGCTCTGCCTTCCACTGGAGACCCTTCTCAGACACCTGATGATGAACTTTGCAATCACTGTGGGCAACTCACGCAGAGCGTAAAAGCCAGGGGCTTCCCTAAGGCATCTACAGAGCATTTGCTTGTGAGCCCAGTGTTTGAGGCTGGTGTGGAATGCAGTGCTTATGTACAGGCTGCACGGGTAGCGGAAGGAACACAGGTTGGGCAGAGTACCTGCTGAGATGCCCCTCTCTCACCCCCACAGCCCTGCACGTCTGGATCTGAGGTCACATGTGAAGGACATCCAACCCATTCTTAACCAGGCAGGACGTCACCAGAAGCGCCCTGCAGTATCTTGGGAAGGTGGTTCCTGTAGGGCAGGGCACTCCTGCTGGGAAGCATGCGTGGAGCTGGGGGCTGTGCTGGGCCCGGGCACTGCCAGGCAGCACCTGGAGGGAGGAAGGCAGTGTGTGGGTGACGGCTAGAGAGGGACCCCCAGCTGGAGTCTGCGAGCCAACTGTGCTGGTGTGGTGTTGAAGGACCTGAGAGGCCTCTGGGGCGCCTCCATCGCCAGTCCTCACTCTGGATCTCCAGCAGGGAGCAGAAGCCAGAAAGCTGCACGGAGGGAACTCGGGCTTGGTGCTGGCACAGGTTTCCACGCTGAAATTACATAACTGTGCAAAACTTGGACTGGCCCGTGTCCCTGGAAACCTCAAGCTTGTTTCTGTCTCGGACTAAGATGGCCTCGTTTCCGTACTGCGAGTACCACATGCTGCGGCTCCGGCTCAGGTACGTCCCCGGAGGCACCGATTCCAGCGTCCGCTGCTGCTGTTGCCAGATGAGCAGGGAGGCGTCCCTGTACCGCAGTCGGGCGAAGCCTTCCGACAGGGCCTTCTCTGCCAGCGGGACTCGGCCACTCATCCCCCCACCCGGTTTCCTGCACACCCCGTTACTGTCGCCAGCTGTCTTGGACTATGTTAACTGATGATTGACACTTTTTCCAGCAAGGCGTCCTGCGGAACTTAATGACAGAAGTGAGGACAAGGGACCACAGACCATAGGCAGACAGCGTCCTCGCGAGGGCTGGGGGGCAGACCACAGGGAAACATGCTTAGGACCTTCCCGAAGCCCCTGCAGAGCTATTCAGCCCGCCAGCCAGTCACTGTGGGGCTGTGACTGCAGCCTGGGAAGAAGACATGGCTCTGTGGTGGCGACAGGGCCTCCCTCGTGCGTGCGGCTGCTGGGAGGCCTGTCAGGCGTCCAGTGATTTACAGCCAGGTTCTCCGAGCTTGAAGAGAGTCCCCAGCGTCCAGACAGAAGCAGAAGGAAGCCGTGTGCAGCCTGGCGCTGACCTGTCCACTCAGGACAGCAGCTGCTTTGGGACAAGGCCCCCACACACATGGAGGATCTGGGCCAGCCCTGGTCAGTTTCCTCCTGGCCAGGCTTCTGGACTGGGCTGCGGAGAGAGAGCCGCAGTCAGGTGGCTGGCAGCAGGGGCACCTCGCTTTGGGTCAGAGGTTCTCCGGGGTACCGCAGCCCCGGCCTGGCTCAGTTAGGTGTGCACACGATCCCAGGTTTCCAGCCATCGACTGAGGGTGCTGGGGACTTGGGGGACCCAAATCTCCTCACGTAAAGCAAGAGTCAGGGCGGCTGGGAGGGTAAAGCTCACCCCGGGGGACGCAGGCGCGCCGCGGGCCTGGGCCGCAGTGCCGGGTCCTCACCCTCGGCGCCCCGCACTCCCCACGCCCGGTACTCACCCCGCAGCGCCTCCCGGCTCCAGCATCAGACACCGCTGGGCCCAAGAGCGACGAAAATGACGTCAGCAGAAAGCGGGCGCGGCCCGGCCCCGCCGCGGG